AATAGGATGGTAATCAGTTTAATGGGCTTAGTTGCAATAATAATCCATTTTATGGGGTTAGATTGGGCTTATAAATCTTAAAAAACTTGGGCTAATTATAAGAATGGTAGATTTATTTTCTGCTACTATATATTATAATTTAATCTGGTTAGGTGTAATTCATTGAGTGTTGGATTAGCAAGTAATAAACAGATAAATGATAGTCTTCTCTAAGAAATAATAAACACGGAATGGGCATTGCTGGTTTCCTTCTTCAATTCTGTATGCATCAATGAATTAAGCTTTGGTTGTTCTCGATTGAATATGGGTGGACGAAACATGAAACTAGGCTTGGTAATTCCTGACATGACCTGATAATCTGACACGACACAACACGAAATTAACAGGTGTTCGGGTCAACACAATAACGAATCGGATCGTTATCAGGTAACCCGATAAGCACCTATTAAGATAACGGGTTGATTCGGGTATACACTTAGGTAACACGATACATGATAAGCATAATATTATTTTTATAATTTTATAACCCTAAAAAAATACTGTAATAATTATATATATTAATTTAACAATTTTATACCCCTAAAAACTATAATAAATATATATATATATATATATTAACTATAATAATTAGTATAATAATTATATATATATATATTAAATTTTGAATTAAATTTTTTAAAAACTATAATAATTATTAATTAATATGCATCCATTGATTTGATTCCATAATTGATAATTCCATTCCATTTCCTGCAGTACAGCCCTTTTTGAAGAAAAAGGGAGGGAAAATGAAAATGATAAGAAAAGTTGAAAAGGAAACAAAAAAGAGAGGGAATTAGGGAAAGATGGGTATGCACAGTAGGCTACCGGGGGAAAAAGTGAAAATTATAAGAAAAGTTGAAAAGGAAACAAAAAAGAGAGGGAAAAATGAAAATTAATAGAAGTGGTGAGAAATTTTTATTTTTATTTTTTTAAGTTATTAACTTTTTATCACACATATGACTATCTCACTATTTTTATAATGACTCACATTATGTACTACTCCGTATACCAATCAATTATACGTACAAAATAAATAAATTTAAATCTACTTAATAAATATATATATATATATGTATACATATATATACACACACCATTGAATTTGATGGGATATGAATTCTCCGAAACTAATTTCAACGATCCCAATTGTCAAACTTGTTTGTATATGCTTTGAGATCACATCAGCACAAAATCGAAAAAACAAACATTCACAGATCAAGTAACGGAACAAAGCTTTTCGACGGTTATGAACGAAAAATCACGATTTAACGGTTATTTTAACTTTGATTTTGATGATTTTTTTTACAGCTACACTCATTGACCCTATATGAATACAATGAATGAATTTGATCTTCAATTTAAAATATTTACACAAGTGGATACCACAAAATCTTATGTTATACTTGATAAAAGTATAAATAAACTCTAAGTGTTAGTAAATCTATTGTTTTTATGGGATACGAATTCTCCGAAACTAATTTCAATGATCCCAACGTCAAACTTGTTTGTATATACTTTGAGATCACATCAGCAAAAAATCACAAAAAACAAACATTTAGAGATCGAGTAACGGGACAAAGCTTTTCGACGGTTATAAACAAAAAATCACGATTTAACAGTTATTTTAACTCCGATTTTGATGATTTTTTACAACTATACTCCTTGACCCTATATGAATACAATGAATGAATTCGATCTATAATTTCAAATATTTACATAAGTGAATACCACAAAATCTTATGTTATACTTAATGAAAATATAAATAAACTCTAAGTGTTAGTCAATCTATCGTTTTGATGGGATACGAATTATCCGAAACTAATTTCAACGATCGCAACAGTCAAACTTGTTTGTATATGCTTCGAGATCACATCAGCAAAAAATCACAAAAAACAAACATTCAGAGATCAAGGAACGGGACAAAGCTTTTCGACGGTTATAAACGAACAATCATAATTTAACGGTTATTTTAACTCCAATTTTGATGATTTTTTACAACTATACTCCTTGACCCTATATGAATACATTGAATGAATTCGATCTTCAATTTAAAATATTTACACAAGTGGATACCACAAAATCTTATATTATACTTAATGAAAGTATAAATAAAGTCTAAGTGTTAGTCAATATATCGTTTTGATGGGATACAAATTCTCCGAAACTAATTTCAACCATCCTAATCGTTAAACTTGTTTGTATATGCTTCGAGATCACATCAGCAAAAAATCCCAAAAAACAAACATTCAGAGATCAAGGAACGGGACAAAGCTTTTCGACGGTTATAAACGAAAAATCATGATTTAACGGTTATTTTAACTTCAATTTTGATGATTTTTTACAACTATACTCCTTGACCCTATATGAATACATTGAATGAATTCGATCTTCAATTTAAAATATTTACACAAGTGGATACCACAAAATCTTATATTATACTTAATGAAAGTATAAATAAAGTCTAAGTGTTAGTCAATATATTGTTTTGATGGGATACAAATTATCCGAAACTAATTTCAACAATCCTAATCGTTAAACTTGTTTGTATATGCTTCGAGATCACATCAGCAAAAAATCGCAAAAAACAAACATACAAAGATCAAGTAACAGGATAAAATTTTCCATGGTTATAAACGAAAAATCACGATTTAACAGTTATTTTAACTCTGATTTTGATCATTTTTTACAGCTACAGTCCTTGACCCTATATGAATATCATGAATGAACTCGATCTTCAATTTAAAATATTTACACTAGTGGATACCACAAAATCTTATGTTAATGAAAGTATATAAATAAACTCTGAGTGTTAATGAATATATTGTTTTGATAGGATATGCATTCTATGAAACTAGTTTCAACGATCCAACTGTCAAACATGTTTGTATATACTTCGAGATCGCATACGTCAAAAATTTCAAAAAACAAATATTCAGAGATCAAGTAACGAGACAAAAAATTTCGACGGTTATCAACGAAAAATCACGATTTAACGGTTATTTTAACTCTGATTTTGATGATTTTTTACAATTACACTCCTTGACCCTATATGAATACAATGAAAGAATTCGATCTTCAATTTAAAATATTTACATAAGTGGATACCACAAAATCTTATGTTATATTTAATGAAAGTATAAATAAACTCTAAGTGTTAATGAATCTATTGTTTTGATAGGATATGCATTCTACGAAATTAGTTTCAACGATCCAACCGTCAAACATGTTTGTATATACTTCGAGATCACATACGCTAAAAATTTCAAAAAACAAACATTCAGAGATCAAGTAAAGGGACAAAATTTTTCGAAGGTTATCAACGAAAAATCACGATTTAACAGTTATTTTAACTCCGATTTTGATTCTTTTTTACAGCTACAGTCCTTGACCCTATATGAATACAATGAATGAATTCGATCTTCAATTTAAAATATTTACCCTAGTAAATACCACAAAATCTTATGTTATACTTGATGAAAGCATAAATAAACTCCCAAGTGTTAGTGAATCTATCGTTTTGATGGGATACGCATTCTATGAAAATAAGTTCAATGATGAAACCATCAAACTTGTTTGTATATGCTTCAAGATCGCATACGCCAAAAATCGTAAAAAAACAAACATTCAGAGATGAATTCGATCTTCAATTTAAAATATTTATACTAGTGGATACCACAAAATCTTATGTCATGATAATCGATGAAAATTGAGGATTTTGTAAAAAGAATAACATGCAAGCTTTGAATTCCATTGGCAAAGTTTAAACTTTTGAGAAAGACTTCACAACCTTGAAAACAAAAACTCTTTCATTTTGCATATCCTTGCACATTTAATATTTTGTAATAGATTAGTAGTGTATGGATGTTTGTTTATTAGGCTCTTATTTTCAAGTGTAGATCTAGCACTTAAACAACAAATGTGTTTTAATGTTTTGAAGTAATATTTATGTGACAATGTGTGGTATGTGCAAATTATTTTTTTAACGGATCATAGCGGGTCATAACGGGTCAGGTCACTTTACCCGATGGGTAAAGTGACCCGACCTGTTAAGGACCCGTTAAGATAACGGGTTTGACACAACACGACCCGTTAAGATAACAGGTATTACATGAAAACGATACGAACACGACAGACATGACCCGTTTGCCAGGCCTACATGAAACTGAGGAGTGATGCGGTGACAAATATACAGCGGCAAAAGAATAATTGAAGAGGGAAAAATGGCTATGAATAGTTGGGGATGAAAGGTTGGAGGAAAGAAGTTGATCACAAATAAAAAATTCACACTAAGAAGTTGATCTTCTTCTGATTTAAAATCTCAATAGGGTTCTGATAGTAAGCCTATTCCCCATCTCCCTATAAAATCCATCAAAATCATAAATCAAGCTCATAGAAATCCTTAAAAATCCATATATAAATCTTATTTTATCCTCTCAATTATCGACTGTCAGATCAAGTGAATTGAAGAGGGTTAAAAGATAAAATTTAACCGATGTATGTGAAAGGTAAAAATGGCTATGTAGATAGCAACACTCTTTAGTAAAACTAACTAACAAACTGCCATATGATTTGATGAAATTGACAAAGGAACTTGGATATGTGTTATTAGTCTTTGTGTGAATGCAAATGATGTTTGTTATATCACCAAGAAAAATATGGGAACAGGCAAGTTGCCTTGTCTATTAACCTTGAGATATTCTTTCCGTGCAATTACACCTCTGCAAACAAGATGATCCGAAACTTTAGATTATTGTCATGACTAGTCATAGCACACTAGATGAACCTCCTTAATCCTCTCTCTATATATTTAGTAGTAATTAAGATTGCAACAGAAGTGCCTCTCCACATAATGCAAGAAAATAGCTAGAAAATTATCATGGAATTACTATGACACTCGGGAACATGTGACTAGCAACATAACGTTACAGAAAATTTCTTATCTCAAATCTTAACATAATTAGTAACATTCATACAACTTGATATCCATCTTGAGGCGAAAATAATATGCACCCTGCAAAGTATCAGTTTGAAGAGTGGCAATCCCTCTAGCCATGAAGAAGTCTCCAGTCCCTCCAACAACCGAAAGATCCCTAGTTTTCTCTGGCATCAAATCCGCACCCATGATATTCAATGTACCCCTGTGCTCACTTGAGTTGAATACCAATGTGTACGCAAACCAAGCTGAGTAGGTGTCCTTTCTGTCGTAGAAATAGAAGCCTTGCGCATTTGCAATGGGCGGAGATTGATACTTATCGTCCTTTGTAATAGGGTCATTAAAGACAACAAGCATACCGAATTGAGAGTTTGGCGCAAGCTTGGTTGAATTTGCTGCTGCAGCAGATGTTGCATTAGTCTTATCCTTCTCCGTGCCGTCAAACAGTTTGTCGTGGTAATACAGCTGCATTCTCATGCATGGTTTCTCTGCTTTGAACTTTCGAGTTCTGGTTGATAAAACAGATGGAAAAATAATGAAGACCAAAATAAGGAAACAAAATTTTGCTGAAAAAGTTGTCATGGTATTACTTTCCTACGTTTGATCGGATTGTTGTGTTTGATTAGATAAAACTACCTAATTGTTTCAATTTATATTGAAGTTTGGAGGTTGATTCATTCTGTCGTTTTACTGGTAGGAGTTTATTGAAGAATATGCCGAACAGTGTTTTGTACAAAATTTTGAGCACATACTCTTGTACTTTGCTTTATTTTTCACAATAGAATACATAGAAAGTGCCATGTTCAAGATTTTGGGCCGTCTAGGAATCAGAATCGTTTGAACAAAAAATGTAAGTGATTTTTAGGGTTTTGTACTTATATATCCTCATCTCATACATATCTTGATTCCTATGTGTATTAGGTCGAGATACTGCAGTAGCCAATGCCTATCGACAAGGCCTGAAACTGAAGTTGCCCGTATCAACTTTGGCTGTTTTGCAAAGTGATGAGGTCCCCAGCAGAAGGAACTGATACAAAAGCCAACGGTAGGACTTTAGTCACTAGCACAGAGCTATAGACTATACAGCGCCTTTGTAAATAACTCCCACAAACTCTGCTTTGTTGTTTGGCCGCTGACCAAAGTGAAAGAAGTGGGCGATACGTAGAGGTTAGAGCTTTTGGGAAGACAGGTTAGAATCTCTCCTTGTTTTACTTGGTATTGAACAAAAAGATAGACCTATTGACCAAAAAAAAAATACTTCTAGAAAAAGACTTATATGACATCGTATACTATCATTGTGATATATCATATGCTAACAAAATAAATACATTAAATTTCGATCCAAATATTTTTAATTTAATGTCATAATGGCAAACATATTATATTGTTATTATTATGCATTTTGAGTAGGCCTGGCAATTACTGACACGATCCGATAACCCGACATAATACTATACGAAATTAATAGGTGTTCGGATCGACACGATAACGAATCAGGTCGTTATCGAGTAACCTGATAAGCACCTATTAAGATAACGGATTGATTCGGGTATACACTTGAGTAACACGATACACGATAAGTAAAATATTAATTTTATAATTTTATAACCCTAGAAAAATACTATAATAATTATATATATTAATTTAACAATTTTATACCCCTAAAAACTATAATAATTATATATATATATTAAATTAAATTTTAAAAATTGGTGACCATTGGATTGGTTGAAATTTAATCTAAATCTCAGCAGTCCATTATGCATTAGGTTGGAGGCTATCCTTCTCTTGAAGGCAATAGATCAAGCCAAAGTTTCAATACAATTTTCTCATGATAATCGATGAAAATTGAGGATTTTGTAAAAGGAATAACATGCAAGCTTTGAGTTTCATTGGCAAGGTTTAAACTTTTGAGAAAGGCTTTACAATCTTGAAAACAAAAACTCTTTCATTTTGCATATCCTTGCACATTTAATATTTTGTAATAGACTAGTAGTGTATGGATTTTTTTTTTATTAGGCTCTTATTTTTTAGGGTAGATGTAGTACTTAAACAACAAATGTATTTTAATGTTTTGAAGTAATATTTATATGGCAATGTGTGGTATGTGCAAAATTTAAGGACCCGTTAAGATAACGGTTGTGACATCACACGACCCGTTAAGATAACAGGTGTTACACAAAAACGACACAAACATGACAAACACGATCCGTTTACCAAGCCTAATTTTGAGGGACTAAATTAAATCCACCAACGATGTTTTTACTTCAAACAAGTGATTCGTGGACCAATCACTTGAATGGAGTTTTTATCAATAATAGCCAAAATTTAACACTCAATTTCATAAATGTCATTTTTTATAAAGTCTTTCAAAAATAGCATAAAAACCACTCAAATAGACCTAAATACCCTCAAAATTAAAACCAAATAACAAAACTTATTAGATAAGAATTTAGGGAAAATGAGAGACCACTATGCCATGGCGTTCCCAACCAAGACTAATGAAATCAAAGATCTTCTTAGTATAACTGAAATCTTGAAGGCTACTGCCAATTTCAATCAAGTAAACATCCTAAACAGCAAGAACCTGAAGCATCTCTTCTTTAAAGCCCTTCCATTCCACACCTACAATACACATCAACCTTCCCAGTAAACAGGCGGGAACACCCGCATGGCTCTGTTCTTTTCTCAACCATTTTCAGCCCCTCGAAAAGAGAAATAATTCGAAATATTAAAAAATAATTAACAAAATTTTGCGTCCATGCTAATTTTTGGGTACTTGTACTTTTCCTTCTTCCCACAATATATAGAGGTCCATTGTGCTCCTTCCCATTCCCAATCCCTACACCCTCTCCTCTTCCCTCTCCTTTTTCTCTATCTGCTGATCTAACAGAAAGAACCTAAAGCATACATCATAGACAACAAGAACCTAAAGCATCTTTGCTTGATTGAAATTGTCAGTCGCCTTCAAGATTTCCTTTATACTAAGATCCTTGATTTCATTGATATTGGCTGGGAACATTATGACATAGTGGTCTCTCATTTTTCCTAAATTCTGATTTAATAGGGTTTTGTTATTTGGTTTTAATTTTGAGGCTATTTAGATTGATTGAAGTGGTTTTTCTGCTACATTTGAAAGATTTTATAAAAAAATGACATTTATGAAATTAGGTGTTAAATTTTGATTATTATTGATAAATACCCACTTGAATGTGCTTGCACCAAATAGATGCTTTTCCAAAATAAAAAAATATATATATAAAAAATGATTTATACCATCGCTTCCAAATTTTTATATTAAACGTATAGCGTGCTTTTAATATTAAATTCAAAACCATAAGAATGAATTCTATTCACTGTTTGCAATATAAGCATGAAGTGAAAACTCCGAATATGATGGTGATACAATGGAATGCACTGCTAACTCCTATAACAAGAGATTTCGGCTGAAGAAAGAATACTCTCGGTCTTGGATTCTAAAATCTGAAAACAATGTTATGTTTTTGCAGTGAGTTCAAAATAGTTCGGCTGCCCAGGCACAAAATGTAACCCGGTAACACCTTATTTCGTCAAGAAAGCTATTAAAGTGACATCGTTCGGCGAAATAATGATAATCTCTTTCACATGCCTTTTTAATGCTCATGGGGGCATTTATAATCCCTTCTATCTAACATTTTATGATATATTTCTTAGTAATTTGGCCTGAATTCTTTATGGATTGGAAATCTCTCACCCAAACGTAGTCGTCCAGGAATTAGAATAGCTTAAATCCAAACTACATATATATGTACTTTTTGAGGTATTGTGCTATCCTAGCTAGCTGCCTACATATATATAAAGTTTTGTCCTCTCTGTTCCGCCCTTCATACTTATTTTGATTCCAATGATCATAGCACACTCGCAAATAACCATCCTTGGTCCTCTTTTATTAGTGAAATTAGAACAGAAGTGCAGGCCACACTTATAAAGAAAAGCAAATTAAGAATAATTACAATCGAATCTTATCTCTCTTTTTTATTCTTTGCATGCGTACAGCAACTCTCTCAATTGTCTTACACGTTATATAGTGAGAGGGCATTATGTACAAGAATTTCTCAAATTTTAGCGTAATTAATTACATTCACACAATTTGTTGTCCGTCTTGAGACGAAAATAATATTAACCCTGCTGACTATCAGTCTGAATGTGGCAATCCTTCTAGCCATGAAGAAGTCTCCAGTCCTTCCAACGACGGAAGGATCCCTAGTTTTTTCCTTCATCAAATCTGCGCCCATAATATTCAATGTACCTTTGTATTCATACGAGTTGAACACCTCCTTAAAGTCGTAAAAATAGAAGCCTTGAGCCTTTGCAACGGGTGGTGACAGAAGCATGTCGCCGTTTGTCCGGGGATCGTTAAATACAACTAGCATACCAAACCAAAGTTTATGATGCCAAGGTTGGTTGCATTTGCAACGGCAGCAGCTGTTGCATTCGTGCCACCAAATATAATGTCGTGGTAAAACAGCACTAGCCTCTTGCATGGTTTTTGAGCTTGGAATTTTGGGGGTTTGGTGGCCAAAATAGATGGGAATATAACGAAGACAAGCAAAAGGACAGCTTTTTTTCTGCAAAAGTTGTCATTGTTATTAATTGCAAATTGAATGAAGAAATCGTTGGCCATAACTAACTCTTGTGTTGTACTTATATATATATTGCCCATCAATATATACATATATAGATATAGGGTGAACTACTAATTTAGTATTTGAATTATCACCTCAATGAAAATTAGATCCCTAAACTTTTTTTTTTTTTTTAGAAAAATCAGTCATTGAATTATAAAAATCTGCCAATTACATCCCTAATATTATTTTTGAAGCTATTATTTTCGTCAATTTAAGTCTCGTTACTTGCATATGATACACATTGGAGGGTAGATTAGTAGTTTTTCATAAATAAAAAAAAATAGTGTATAGAGTTAACTTTGGAGGGTAAATTAGTAGTTTTATTATAAGATAATGATATTTGAACTTTATTTATTGATCATCTTGTTGACAACCTTTTTAATAGATGTAGACGGCACTCATGTACCATTTATGACACACCCCGACCCAGTATGTCCACTAGGACTCCAAATCAAGCCGTGCTGGCCAACACCTAGAAGGTGACGAAGCCATAAAGTGTAGTGATGTGGAAAATATGAACAAATTTAAACCTAAAAGTGCCTAAATATAAGAGTGCGCTGGTCAGCGGGAATGAACCCATTTCACACGTGACGACAGAGCATAAGTACAGTACAGTAAAATAGGGTGAGAATTATACCATCGATGGTAATCTTCTATACCAAGATTTGCCAATAATCCTCGTCGGTACAAAAACTCTACTACTAGAACCAAAGGCCTCGTGCTATATGAAGGTGGGCATGTACATATAAGGCACATCACCCCATCTCCGTTGGTCGATGTGTGATGTTACAATCCACCCCCCTTAGGGCCCAACGTCCTTGTCTTGAAACCTATTGACCAAAAGTCAACTGTCAATCAAAGGTCGACGGTAGGGTCCACAACCTTACGTAACTCAATCTGGAAGATCCGCACCTC